TTAGAAATAAAATTACCCAAAAAAAACATTACTGGGGTCTTCACCACCCTTTTCGAGAGGAACTCGATTAACATATTATGCCAAATATTAAACAAAACATAAAATGAACAGTAATTTTTATCAATCATCTGCTGTATGAAGGCCTTCCCATGCCCTTTTAGCCATGAGGGTTGTTTGACCATATTTCACTAGGTTGGTGAGAGTGGGTTGATAAAGGGGTGTATAACCCAGGACCGGTAGAGATACCACACGCCACTGATGTTAGTTGTGGCCAGATGCCGGCCTCATATTGCAGTGCCCGTTATACCTTCAGAGAAACACCGCACCAGGTCAACGGTGGCAGAACCAATGAATGGTTTATACCATCACTACACGTGACACCATCCTTTACGGGAACAAAACCCAACTGTAATCCATCAACGGGACAGTTTGTCTGTGATAAGCTGGCGCATTGGCAGTTGTTGAAAACTGTCCTGTGGTAATGAGCTCTTAACTGCTGGCTCGGTGACTCAGAGGTGAGAATGCTGAGAGGTGGCACCCACTGAGATGCTGGTTTAGAACGTGGACAGGCCATTCTAAACCAGGTTCTCAAGTCCGGTGAGTCGACAGGCGCAACTGACATACGTCACTGAGCAGTGCACAAAACCCCCACTGAATTATATTTATAGGCTCCCGTTTAATGTGACTTCATTTCAGCGTTGACAATGAAAGTATCATTGGGACTGTCGTGCAACAAGATCAATTGAAGGGATCTCAAAAGTAGTTTTGTAATGTCTTCTTCTTCAGTGCACTGTCTAACACAGGCGGGGGCGGGTTACACTCTGCAGTACTTCCGAAATGATTTTTCATCTCCTGACATGATGCCCGTCAGCACAAAGAGATAGAAATAGGGAAGGCATTTTTTTTTTTACAAAAGTTAGAACTGGAAAATAAAATAAATGAACACTAAATGAAAGCACTGTCATGCATCCTTGCCATAGACAAAAACAAGCTGTAACTTGGAACCATGAAACGATGTGGTACAGCATAACAAAACTTACTTATTACGAGCAGTCTAGACTGCACCCTTTGGGTTCGTAGAGAAGTGAACCATTTCTGAAAAGTCTAACAGGGACAAATACACAGGGTTGTTGCATGGTGAGTATTTCCCCAGAGTTAGAGAGACGGTGATTGCGAAATTGCCAGTCGATGTTACTCGTGCAACGCTGGCTTCGCTCGGTAGTGATGCACGGACTGGCATCTGAAGGTGTCAACAGTTTTTTTTTTATATCTATATACATCAAAAGCTCTCAAACTATTTAAGATGAACACAAAAAGCCACAGTCTGTTTCGAGCCCGAGCCTCGACACATGGCGAGTGATTTACTTTTGCGAAGGAGAGTGCGAGGGATAACAAATAATGGGCTGGAGGGGTTTGTAGTGTTCGCCTGCACGCACGTTCAATAATACATACTATTCATGAGCGTGTTATCTCTTCCACTGCATCTTGCAGAACTGACTTATATGTGTGGCACCAATGCGTATACACGGAGCGTATCCCTGGTGGTGTGTGCACGTCTGATGGTGAGAACGCCTATTTAAGAAGTGTAAACACGTCCATATGGTAACCAGAGGCCCCTGGCTTGAATTATTTGAGCAAATACAAATGTACGGCGTGAGTCGATGCACAATCTCCACTCTCTAGATGATAGCCAAAAATATGTAACACAACTCCTTGCTTGCTGGTTTAGTGACTGACTGCACTTGGGTAGATAACATTGATCTGGTTCACAATTTTAACAAGGAAACAACATAGGAAACCTTCCGAGCATTGAAAATGCTGAAACAAAATAAACCCATCGGCCAGTTACATCAAAGCCTATAATCAAAAGCAATTGTACTCAAATTTAAATGCAAATTCAAAACGCCACAGCATAGCAAACTGGAGGGGGGTGTGTGTGCTCAGGAAATGGAGAGTCCATTGCAGTGGCCCAGACTTTAAAGCAGAGTTCTGCACACAGCGGACTGTCCCCAGAAGCACTTCGCGCGCCACTCAGCAGGAAACTAAACCAAACAGGGGAATGGGGATTGTGGGACCGGTGATGTCACACCGGACTGCTGCGATAGGCCGTCGGATGCGATTGGTCACTTCGACGTGACTACGCGAAGACCTCAGAAATCCCCCCACCCCCCCCCCCCCCCGATGGCGCGTCGGCGGCGTCGCGGGCGACCGAGAGCGACGGCGTTCACGCGGGAGTGACGCGATGGGACAGATGTCGCAACTCGTGCAACGCTGGCTTCGCTTCCAACCGTGCTCACGCCCTCAGGCCGTGCTCGTGAAGCTAGCAAGGCGCACATGTGGGCCTTCAACAGTTTTCATTAACAAATTCTTTGGGTCTTTCGGTAAAGCCATGTAGACAGAAAAATAATAAAATTATCACGACTTTTCGATTGCAACACAAGCAATCATCATCAGGTGACAAAAATATAGCGTGAGAGCTGCCGAAGCAGGAGAAACGTTTTCTCCTGCCTCGGAAGCTCTCTCGCTATATGAATTCCTGCAGTTACTAAAGCTTTAAGTCAGTTTTCATTAACGTTCATGTGAGCAGCGAACATTAATTGGGTATTTAAAGGTTGCATTTTTCGACATTTGGATGATTGTTTTTTTCTTTATAGATGTCTCCCCCCCCCCCCCACAAGATGAAGTATGCTTGCTTTATGAATTTGCTTGCTGTATGGAGTTAATAAAAAAACTTTTATCTGAACTGGACATCCTTAAACTGCTTAGCTATCCCCCTCACCCACCCAGTTCCCCCTCTGGAACTCCCTACCCAGGCTTCTCCCCTCTCTCTGATTTCAAAAACTCTCCTCCACGCCTTCCTCTTCCACCCCCAAACCTTCGGGGAGCCTCCTTAACTTCTGCTTTTCTCCCTTTTGCCTGCTTTGTAAATCTGCCCTCTTGAGACGCTTCCTGCGATGCGAGTGCACTGTAAATGTAAGCTGTTGCACTTTGTTTTTCATGGGCCCCTCTTTAAGTTTCAGGGGCCCTGGACAAATGTCCAGTTAGGACACCGCTCCCCTCTCCGCCACCTAAACTAGGCCCTACTGCAGGTATGCTCATCCCAGTTGGTTGCCATCAAGTGAGTGGAGGAAATTCTGCATTCCTATGACCAGCCCATAGGACGACCACTGTTGACTGTCCACAAAGTGGCACATGACTCGGTCGGTTTAACTATCTGGACACGTTTGAGGGCCACGTGACTCGCCGACGCTTACGGGATGGCTATTTTTGGCCGCACGCTCGCACATCCCAGGCCAACGCACGTGCGGGCGCGAGCGTTCCGTGTCTGGTCTGGGAGGAGGCCGCCTCAAGCCTTGGACACAGAAGCTGCGTTGACCCCACGCGTCCACACCCGACCTTGCCCTGTAACATGTAGTAATTGTGGAATAAGCGTTCACGACTCGAACGCAACGAAAGAAACAAAAATACTGCTCGGCTACGTTGCACAGGATGACAGTTTTTTTTCTTTCACAAATAAACTTCCTAAGTTTAATACAAGCCATCTTGAGCCATGACAACATTTAATTGATTAATATATATCGTTCACTTTTGTTAAGCAGCCTCAGGTCAATTAAGCTAAAAGGAAAGAGAAACTTATTCATTAAAAAGATAAAAAAATATATTATTTTAAATTACAATTAGAAATGAGTTAGTGTCGGGATACACATTTTAATGAGACAGGTATGTAGAGGATTAGCAATGACTCATTGAATCTACAACTTTGGATAACACTTATGCCATAAGAATGTAAAAATGGCATGGTTCCTCTGCCGTATAGATGGCAGGTGAGAATGTGCGAAGGATCACACAATGATGTTAGATTATTTATCGCATCTTGTTTCAAACGGAGCAAAGACGATTCAAAAAGCACTCACTTGTGTAAGCAATACTAAATTACTTATACTTTTGCACTCAAACTCCGACGGATGACATGTTGTAATATTGTAAAAAGAACACGCACAATTATTAACGTGGTCAATTTTAAGGCCCTCCTAGTGAGGCTGGATGAAGGAGGTCGGCGATGACAAGACAGGTGAAAAGACACACAGACAGAATGACAGATGAGCACAGAATGCGAGATCTCTCACATAGCCTTGAACAGACTGTTGGGGCAATCATTTTTACCGTGCGTCCCCAAATTCTGATGTTTACACACGGCAGCAGGTACTCATTTAAGGCCGAGTCTACCTAGGGAAGGCCCAAGACTGGTTCAGTTATTCATCACCGATATTGGCTGCGAGGAGGAATCGAACTCAGGTTGCCGGGTTCGGAGCACATGATGCTAACCACTACGCTATCGCGCCCCACAATAGCCTGAGTAGATTTTGACTTAAAACTTTCGTGACTGCAGGAATTCATATTCTTGGTTCTTTCGGTAAAGTCACGTAGACTTTTGGGGCAAGTGCTGTTAGCGAGCTACTATGAAGGCCGGCACAGCACATGAGGGGGTAGGCGGTCAGCACCACGCCCGACCGCCTTTGTCTCCCAAGTGGCACATCACACTAGCTACTCATATGAGGCTGAGTCAACCTAGGGAAGGGGTCCAGGACCGGTTCAAATATACGCCACTGTTATTAGTCGTAAGCGGGAATCACCAGGTTCATAGCGCAACGCGCTAACCACTGCGCCACAGCTCCACACACACACGCACATACACACGTGTATATATAGACAGACAGGCCGGTGCTTGGAAACACAGAATACAATTAGATGCGGAATCACTGTTGGTCTTGCATGGACAGCACTGCGTGCAGTGCTGGGTGAAGTGCAAGTATTGCTTTTGGCCACAGTGCCGACTGCACGGAGACAGTCACTCACCTCTCTACGCCTCGTGGCCCAACAGCTCTGCACAGAGACAGTCACCTCTCTACGCCTCGTGGCCCAGCAGCTCTGCACGGAGATAGTCACTCACCTCTCTACGCCTCGTGGCCCAACAACTCTGCACGGAGACAGTCACTCACCTCTCTACGCCTCGTGGCCCAGCAGCTCTGCTTGATTTTCCAAACGACGGCCGCCACCAACAGGAGAGAAAGGAAACAACTGCAAAGCAAAGCGAGCGGAGGTGGGGGGGGGGGGTGGGTTTGAAAAAGCAGGGATCATCAGGGAAGGTTCAGGGGAAAGAGACAGAATAACCATTGTTATTTAGGGTCATTCACGTGTGATTTATACAGTTTATCACATACAGTGCAATTCAATTTGGATTTATTTAGCAACTAAATACAGCCGCATCTCAAGACACTCGACAAACAGAGTGTGACACGACAGTGATCTACACCGTGTCACAGTGCACGTTGTCAGCACGGATGTTCTTCAATTCACATATGGAGGGTTGTAAATCATTCCACCCTTACAAAGGATAATAACACATTTTAACAGGACACAGATTTATAATGCACTAATTATAAAGGCCACGAAGCCATCAGAAACTACATTTTTAAAAATACTACATTGTACACTTCCTGGAGTTTTAAGTCACCGTGTTGTGTGTGGTATTCCTGCACTGGCCAAAACGTTGTCACATTACTGATGGTAATATAATTTCACAATGCATCGTGGAATTCTACGCATCTTCCTTATTGTGACATCTTTTCACCAATCACAGCTCAAATGTGCTCGTGTAGACATCCAAGGGGAACAGTCCAGTCCATTGTGGTAGGCCCTACGGCAGTCAAACCGTAGGGCCTATCAACTCTACCTACAAGGACCCTATGCTAGTGGAACCTCAAATCTGTGAAATGCGTTAAATAAACATGGGTACGAATTTCTTCGTTCCTAAGATTCCAACCATGTCCAAATGAGTGCCAGTCATATTAAACCCAACACAATGTACTTTGGAAATTCTCTCTGCAATCCACAAAAATAAACACTGTAAATACATATTGATTTGAGGCAGGGCTTCTCCACCCTTGACGCCAGCTATAACCAAGTATGATGAAACCATCCATTGCTCGTCGTGGTCAAACACCTCTTTCTCCAAGAAACTGTGGGTTCCACGGCACTTACCGGCAACCGTGAAGCACAGAACATTACATCCTCGTTAACGTTCCCACTGCTCATGTCCTATTGACAAACGCGCGCGCGTGTATGTGTGTGTGTGTATTTTCTAACAAAAAGTATTGATGACAAAAAAATGTTCTACAAGCACCTGCCGCCATTGAATTTGATTTATTTGTTCAAGTGTTTTACCGCAGTGCCAAAGATCACCTGGGTGGATTGCAATAAGCAGCGTTATATATCTATAAAGGCAGACATAAGCACTAGTTTATATACGATCAATCACGTGGCTCTGAGTTGTGTCAAGGTGGATAGCTTGTTTGGCTATTTGAGCACGCTCAAGATACATAACAATTGCTTCTGCTCATGTGGAAATATGGCTTTCATTTTTAAATGCTCATGTTGTCCCAACACTCATTTAACAAGGGACTCAAGTATTAAAAAAACTGTTGTGTGCACATAAACTTTCAACGTTTCTCGGCTGAAACAATTGCCTTTCCCTAATCCCAGAAGCCATCGCTAATTGGCACCAGAACATACATTGTATGCTTGATGCCTGTCTGTACGAACAGAGTTCCCCTGAGCACCTTCCAGATCTGATCCCAGGGTACTAATTAAACTTGCCCTGCACATGGCCAGGTCTGTACAGTAAGTATGCTGCAGAATCAAGCCATTCATCTGTGGCGGGCCTGTGTACATGCAGCAGAAGGATACGTGTGTGTGTGTGTATGTGTGTATGTGTGTGCATGTGAGCATGTGGAGGTTAGCACGCTGCGCTACGAACCTGGCGACCCGAGTTTGATACCAGCTCGCGCCCACAAACACCAGTGATATGTGAACCGGTCCCTGGGCATCCCCTAGGTCGACTCAGCCTCAAATTAGTACATAGTGCAGGGTGTAAATATGGCAATGAGGGAGACAAAGGCAGCAGAGCATAGCGCTGGCCACCCTCCCCCTGTGTGGCATGGCGGCCTTCACAGGTGTTCACTACCAGTACTTGCCCCAATGGTCTGTTAAGGCTATACAGGTGACCTTTGTCTTTATCTACTCACCGTGCAAACCAACCATGCACGCACACGCGCCTGTACACGCGCACGCACAAAGGCACACATTTGCGCGCTCCATTAAAGAAATATTAATTCTTCCTCCCCTCACCAATTTCAATCCAAACTTATAATCAGACATAAGCCGAGGTCAACATGCAGAATTTTTATATTTTTTTTGCTCGGGCGGCAGTCTGCGATACGACGTGCTGCTCAAAATCTAATGCGAAATGCATTTTCACGGACAAACTGTGCCTCATTCCCGTCATGTCAAAGACTATCCGCATGGACACTCGCATGTGCATATTCACGTACACACACACACACAAGGCACGTACAAACTCAGAATCTCATTAAGAATATGAAGCACAGACGCATTCACTTATAATGCACTTAAGTGCAGACTACAAAACACAGGACCTGGCATCACGCAGCTTAACTGTGGATCCAATGCTCTCTCATTTTCTGCAAACATCACAAAGTGCAGAGACCCCTACTGAGTCTTTATATATTTATTTACTCGCTTATTTTCTGCTAAAACTCAAAAATCCATTTATCGCAAGAAACATTACCCAATATTGCTTGAAAACATACATCCAAAAACCAAGCTATTAATCACCGTGCATTGCCAACGTGGGACAACCCCATGCATAATGCAACAGGTTTAACTAGATTCCAGACAGTAATTCATGGAGATAGCAAAAGGTAAAACATGAGAAAGCTCCATACATTATCAAGCAACTCGCAAAGACGCCTCCATTAATATCACCGTCTGTAGGAGGGCTGATAAGGAACCGCTGTAGGTTGGGAGCGTGGCGTGCGCGTAAGGCCACTCGCAAAAAACCTGGCTACTGCCACAAAAAAATCACCCCTCAGTGTGTGGCTCACGGCAAAAAAAAATGACAACCGGCCAATAACATTTCCCATTATTTCGCTCTCTCCAATGCTTCCCACCTATTTCACAAGCGGTGGCATGCGTGTACACACACACCTCCTCGGCCGGCATAGCAGAATGATAAAAAGAACATGACCGTCCAAATATAAATCGGAGATAAAGCCACGTGGGCATCAATAATTAAATATCCTTGATTTAGAAGTTGTACGTACATATGCCAAGCTTCTTTTGCACCGTACGTAGCCCACCGTGTTAATCGGAGGTGCGGGTGGAGAACAACAAACTAAACAGAAAAAGCAGCTCTAAAGAAATGAGTTTTCAATTTAGATTTAGAAGTGCATAGCTCCAGTGGCTTCCTAATATCGGCAGGAAGAGCGTTCCAGACGGCCGTAGAAGGGCATCTGAAAGCACGCGATGTGAGGATGACCAGAGTTTGCGTGATTGGTTATTCTCCTTGACATGCTCAAGTTTGTGTAATAAATGAAATCCCGCGCTGTGTGTTGTATAAGTAAGAACGTCCCATACCTTTTCACTAACCATCGCCCTATAAGGACTGTGGCATATTTAGATAATGCAGAATTTTGACATGACAGGTCATAAAATTCAATTATATTTGAGAGGGACATGGACTGTTTGCATCTTGGATGAATCACTGTGGAAAAGTGCAATGAATTCAACTGAGAGGACCATTGTTCCACCAATTATTTCAAAACTACAGGCTTGAGAATAATATCTATCCATGGGCATTAGGCCATTATTCAATTATTGTAAGCACATTTTGGGAACAATTCTGCAAAGAAGACCAAGGTCAAATAAACCATTTCCTTAGTTCCTGCATCAGCAGTCAATAGTTATGACATTTACAATCAACTTTAATTTAGCAGTTTGGGTAAACTTTCAAGATAGCCATTAATCAGCTTATTTAAAAAAAATAAGTACACGACATTGACTTCTCCAAGACAGAGGTTCTTTGCAAGCCATCTGGCTACCATGAGAGATTCGTTCATGAGGCTATCCACATATACAAACACAGAGACAATTTCAACCGAGAAGATGGATTGTGGCTTAGCAATCATTGGAAGGATTTGATAAACCATTTCGGGTCAAAATTGATTGTTCACGCTTACGGTGCCTTTCAGACAGCATACATTAATTTTTCGTCTCCCCCATCCTCTTTTTCCGAACATGGATGGACTCGTCCATCTACACAAACTGTCAAATCGCTATCCGTGGTGCTAACGTTTAAAAATAAATACATAAATACAAACCGCCACTTCTTTCAAATGTTCTTGCCGTTGGTTTTCACACCTGATGATGACTGCTTGTGTTGCAGTCGAAACGTCGTGAGAATTTTATTGTTTTATATATATTTTATTATTTTATTGTTTCCCTTCAACGTGACTTTACCGAAAGAACCAAGAATATATATTTAAATATACCGTTAACGTTCACCTATTTGGTAAATTTGCTACAAATGGGGTTTGAGAAAAAAACATGGGAAAACTCCTACAATCCACATTTTTTTCACAGATATTAGAATAGCGAGTCACAATCACCGCTCCTCCTATAAAGCCGAATTTTTATTCACGGCTTAAGAGAAATGTGTGACTTAAAACTCCTAAAGTCCGCGATTTCCCGTGGCCGGTTGTTGGGAGTGTTTTTTGCTTTGTGCCACAGATTACAATGTTTGGGAGGGGAGCAGGGGGTACTCCCTCACCTCCGCAGGGAGTTTTGGAGTTGGGGCAAAAAAAACTTTCTACGTGACTACAGCCAATACGAGTCTCGAGTCAAGCCACTTTCTTTTTGGTTAACACCCGCTGTCTTTCGAGCACAAATCAGCCACCCAAAGCGCCCATCAAGTCACGAGATATAAAAATGTACAATTATATACGGTGTAAGACAATGAATGAATGAAAGTAAGTTGTCTCTGAGAGACGACCATTTGTGATCTAAACTTGCTACAAAGCGGTCCTTGTTTTTACGTGTCGCAAAGAAATTAGGGGCCCCCCAGCCAATTCCCCCCCCCCCCCACCACTCAACAATCTTATAGCGAACCAAGCTAAGCCATCACAGCTTCACCTGGTGTCAGATTTGACAGAAATCAATGT